TTAGTGAAGTTTCTAGAAAAAAAAAATGTATCAAACGACGCAATGCACCTTGGGTCGCTACGGAAACAGCCTCCTTGTATAATTACAAGGGTAAGGTCTGCGTACAACTGACCCCCCAGACTCCAACCAGTTGGGAATATATTGGGTATGTTATTATTATTTTTTTTTTTTAATTTTTGGAATTATTGAACTTTTTGTTTGTTTGGGATGTGAAGAAATTTATCGATTAGGTCTTATGCATGCATGTGGGAGTGCATGCAGTCCAGTTTGCATTCCCTTTTACATGTGAAATGGGATAAATATGCTCCACTTTTATACTAGACTACAGCTATTTGTGATCTGGGTACGTCATGTCGTTATATACTGCATGTGTAATTATATTTCAAGTTGCTTCGACTTGTACACAAGTTCAAAAAAATGTTATTCCACATGTATAATATACCACGTTCCCCAACAAATGTACGCAAGTTTAATCAATCACGATTCACGAACTCTTGTTTCCCAAAACTCGTGCAACCCTAGGAACAACTCCAAGAAGAAAGAGCGGAAAACGAGCAAACAAGAACATTCTGGAGAGAGTTTCTGAATAAATTTCAGTCTCTTCACGAGCAGCTTCAGGAGTGTCATATTAATAACCTAAAGCAGACACAAGGAGATGGCATACTAAAAACTGTTTCATCTTTCTCCGATCCCGTTGGTACTATAGGCACATCTGACGACCGGATAAGCCTTCTCATTTCCGAGGTACTGATCATAAACATTCTGATTCATCTGCTCAAGTTTTCTCTCAAATATGCGTTCCATCATCAGGCTTATTCTTGGTATTAATCTTCTTTTAACAACGAATCAGGTTCAGCGTTTAGCTCGGGAATGTGATGATTCAGCCTCGACAACTGATACAGTTGACGAGCTGGACAATAAAGCAAGTTCTTTAAAAGAGGAGTTGAGGCAGCTGCTAGCACGCATCTTAGTCGATAATGGCGTGTTAAGAAAACAGGTGAACTCGCTGATTGTTCGAGCTCTTAATGTGAACCAATCAAATGATAAAGGTGAAACCGAATCTGGGTCGGCTGTAGATGTAAAGAGTGAGGTTTAGCACGTAATGTTGTAAATTCAGTTAGGACATGTACGTTCTGCGCAAACATCTTATACCACCACCAACACATATGAGAGTCCATAAAGTGAACATTACATGGGACTTCCACTGCACATCCCATGCATGTCATGAAAATGATTCATCTGATAATTTGTAAGATTTGTGTTATCACAAGAGTTTTGTGTGTTACTGAGTAATTACATGGAATAACTTTTATCGTTATTGCACATAGAGGCTTTGGTTTGGATATATTGGCAAACATTGGCCCATTATTATGTAAATTTGCTGTTTTGGCCTTGAAGATATCCTTCTAAAGTAGGGTGAGAAGTTATCTACATCTACATGAGAGTGTTATTTATTATTACCGATATTTTGTAATATTTTGTGACCATGTCCTGGACGTGATAATTGGATATTGTCAATTATTTCGTTGTTTTCTTACTATTTTCTCTCAACATAGTAGTTGTTATCTTGTCTAACAAAAGAGATGATAACTT